AGGCCCAGACAGCAGTGAGCCCTATCCATCAACTAGTCCACTTCTGGAACCATGGGAGCGGTTGCGATGAAGAAGGACAATAGATGTCAGTGTAGTTGAGAATCAGCAATTGATTCGCGAACACGGATATTTTGGTGACGTTCCCTGTTTTCCAATCTTCTTGTTGGAACTGCATTTGGGGCATGGAATGCTTCAGATACGCGTTGTCTTCCTCCAAAACATGAACTATTGCACCAAATCATAAAACTTATTCTCTAATTGATCCGTGCGGTCTTCGATCTGGGCTATTTCCCCTCTAAGATCCAAAGCCAATTTTCCAACTTCAGCGGACATAGAAGTGGTAATGTTGTGTAGAAATACTTGCAATTTATCGTCCAGCGCAGAGATTGTGAGAGAAGATGATGCATGCTGAGACGCCGGGGTAGAGGATGAATGATGCCCTGATAAAGGGTGGCCTATTGCCCCTCCTGTCATGACCAGAGGCTCAGAATCCTCCATCTGGGGATGTGTAGGTGCTGGGGATGCTGGCTGCTCTAATGGGAGATGAGCTGCAGTACCCTCCGTCACCTCCAGGGGTCTGGAATCCCTCCTCGGACTCGTAGTGGTACTCGAGGCAGGGGATTGCGGCCTAGAAAGGAACCGCCAGGAGCGGTGAAGACTGCGGGTCCTGCGGTGGGTGGGAAGGGGGGCTTTCAGTGCCCAATCTTCCCCATTTTTGATTTCCCCAGGTGCTGGGCCGGGTGCAGAGCTGATATGGCTCACCCAGAATGAAGTGGAGGCTAAGGCGCATAGTGGGAGAGCCAGAAAGGCCGTGGATGAGTGGAGCTCAAGAGCTACACGTCCAACATCATCCCTGGTCACGAATGCGCCCCCGGAACTTTACCCTTTATTATAACTAAAGTACCTTTAGAAAAAGGGTGAAAGAATAAGTTATGATACACATTGCTTTAGCATTGTGTTGGGGACTGCATATATTTTAATGAGGGGTGCTAAATGTGCTTATTGATCAGCTTTGGATAGCCAGATTTGTTGCAGATTGGACCAGGCAGAGCTGAAGTCAAGAAGCACTATTATATTTTGTATAAATATGGATACAGAGGAATATAAACCCAAAAGAAAATATCATGATATTCTATAGCTATTTCCTATCCCTACTCTTTTCAGTTGGACATATCGCTGCCTGCCTTGAGCATGCATGCTTCAAGGATAAGTTCACCTTTAAAAAAATAATAAAAATAAATGCACTTTTTTTGCAGGTAGAAAAAAAAGCCTGGAAATCATTGCATCAGTGACCAGCACATCACTGGTGCCATGAAGGCTCCTACAGACTACCAGTGTAAGCTGTCTACCCATAAATTGTACTGGCAGACAGTTTTACACCGACAGGAAGAATCAATTAACTACCAGAGCGCTCAACAGTGCCATGGTAGTTCATTGGGAACTACAATCCGACAGCCACAAAAGATGTCGGTACTTGTAGTTTTGACATTCACAGAACTCTGTGAATAAATGATACAGATGTGTGGGCGGAGCCTTGCATGGCTGCGCTTTTTTCAAAAAGTGACAGTTGGTACAGGAAACTTCTTCCCGTACTGCTGTCACAGAGAAGCAGTGGATCACCGAGCGGCTAAAAACGGGTGGAACATGTAACATGTTCCTGAAGGTGAATTTATCCTTCATTAATGGACTTTTGTGCAGACTTCTTCTCTTTTGTTACATATATATAGTTTTTCAAAAAGTAAAAAATGGATGAGGTAGCACGTTGTATATATTTTCTGTGATCATCTTCCATGTGAGTGGGCATTTTTATTTCTTTAAAATAAAGTGATTATGCAGTATTACACTATGGGAGGTCTGTTTTGTTGTCTATGACCTTCTGGTGGGATCGGTTACGGAGTGGAGCCAGGTGACAGGAGGACGTGGAGGAGTAGCAGGGATATCCAAACCACGAGAGGGGCTCATCTACTGATATAATCATCCTGGGATATATGTGGATATTCCACAAAGTGTGGTGACCCTTGTGGTCTCATAAAGGAGGTGAGGAGGCACTTTGGCTGTTCACGGATATCACCTTGCAGAGTGTGGCACTTAATATACACCATCCATCCATCAGTCTGGGTTTCTGCATCCATTTAAAATATAAGGACTAGGTTATTATCAAGATTTACACACCGTTTGGACTTTTTTCACGTGTGATAAGTTCCTCTAAGAGGAATCACTTGTGTCACTACCACTTGATCCCCTATTTGGGGCTTATGTTTTTATTTTGTGGGTAGGGGTGTGTTGCATGTCTTTATACATATGCGTTTATATGCATTTAGCGCTACACCATTATATTGTATTGTGTATATATTGTGTGTTATTTTAAAGAGAAAACTAAAAAAAGGGTAAAAAGCTAGGGACTGGCTACAGAGCGTCTTGTGTGTTTTACTTCCAGTCCCAGTCCCTTCAGTCCCTTCAGTTCTTTTGTTGGTTTTATCCACAAGATGGCCAGAAAAAGAGAAAAAAAATATGGAAAAATGTAAGTATGTATATCTCATACCTGAAGGTCTGCTGGAGAAGCTGACAATCACTGTAGTCATCATGTAGATCATGTGACGCGTCGTCACAGGGGTCACATGATCGGGAAAGGTCCCAATCGAAAGAGCAGACCGGGACCTTTCCGTGAGTACCGGCCATGTGTTCTGGGAGCTCACAGGGTGCGCGCTCTCAGCACATATGTTTTTTGTTACATGAACGCAAATGTACGGACGCTCGGTGTCTAGGCCCAGACGCCAGGAGACCGCACATTTGTGTGTGGCTAGCGTAAAGGGGTTAATAAATCCCCCCCTTCATGTCTTGAGTCCGTCCTCTTATCTCACCTTGCTAGGAACTGAAAAAGCACCCTGCTAATATTACAATGCTTGTATTATATTAATACTGCTCCTACATTACTTTTGGCTAGTCTCTGAAATATTAGCACTCCATGCTAACCTCCTCTGCACTTAATAGCCGCTGTTCACACAGTTTGACTTTTAGTGGATTCTTATTTATTTCCAGCTCCTTTGCTAGTATGGTTTCCTGACAAAAAGATTATTCATTCTCAGGGTGGCATGATAATAGCATAGCTTTTAATTAGATACCCCACAAGGAGCTTTAGAATGTTAAGTGACCACTTCATTTCCTCATCTGCATAACACATATCCCTATGTGGCCCCAGAACTTGTATTGCTTCTCCAGCTGGTGCCACTATAAAAATGTTGATAAGAAATCCAGGTAGGCTGCCGAGATCTCATTTTAGGTTATCGTGTAATTCATATAAATCCTGGCTTCACCTCTCTTACTTTATGGAACATCTCGCTTTCCGGTTGTATCAGATCTATAAATCACTAATACATGCTGTTTATCTGTTATGGTCACTGTGATTTCTCCTGCCCATTTTGCGGCCACAAAAAGAGCCATGCAGTGACTGTTATAAATGGAGCTGAAACATCAAGACCTCAGGAAATAAATCTGCTCAAGAAGTTTATTGCAGCCGTATTCCCAGCTCATTAAAAAGGGGCCATTTATGAACTAATAATTTATATCCCCTTTACCACATATTCCCAAATACTTTGTCTTCTACCAAAAGTGAATTATATAATGATTTATCCTGCCCATGATTTCTTACTTCTATGTATTCCTCCACAATTGTCCCTTATCAAGAAATATTAGGTCATTAACCTATGATTACCATAAGGAAACAGAGGGAGCTTGGCCACACATCTTTTATCCACAGGTACTGGGGTTTGTCTGCACAGCACTAAACTAAATATTAAACAGCCTATTACCCAATCATAAATCATCTTGCATCGATCTCCATACTCAGCCTGAAATCTCATTTGGTACCTTAACTGCAACAACATTATTGCTCTTCCTGCCGCCTTTGAAGGCCCATTTCACTCCAGATATGGATATATACGTTTGTCTATATAGCATCAAATTTAAAGCTGAAGTTTAATCTAGGGTTGCATCGATACCATTTTTATATCAGCGAGTACGAATACCAATATTTGTACTCACTTATACCAATTACCGATACATTTTGTAAAGAATCATGTGTGATTTAAGCCACACAATGAATGGCTCAAATTTCACTGCACATCGCACCGCATGTAATTTGGGTGGGAATTGCACCATATCCCTGTTCTAATCATATGCAATTAATTGCAGTGCAATTTGAGCCCATTCATTTTGTATGGGCTCAAATCCTATATCAAAGGTATCTGTTTCAGGTATCAGAGCATTTGCACGAGTACAAGTACTCATGCAAGTGCTTAGTAACGGCACCAATGCCGGTATCGGTGCAACCCTAGTTTGATTTGCTTATATTTTCCCTTCCCCGGTGCCTCCCTTTTCCAATCAAGATGCTAATCAATATTTGAAATAAAACCTTTCAGTTTTTATTATATACCATATATTAACCACTTGCCTACAGGACACTTATACCCTTTTCCTGCCCAGGCCAATTTTCAGCTTTCAGTGCTGTCGCATTTTGAATGACAATTGCGCGGTCATGCAACACTGTACCCATATGAAATTCTTATCATTTTTTTGAGACAGATAGAGCTTTCTTTTGGTGATATTTAATCACCTCTGTTTTTTTTATTTTTTGCCAAACAAACCAAAAACAACTGAAAATTTTGGAAAAAAAAGTTTTTTCTTAGTTTCTGTTATAAAATTTTCTAAATAAGTGATTTTTCTCCTTCACTGATGTGCGCTAATGAGGCTGCAGTGATGGGCACTGATAGGCTGCACTAAAGGGCACTGATAGGTGGCACTGATGAGGAGGCACTGGTAGGTGGCACTGATGGGCATTGACAGGCATCACTGATGGACACTGAAAGGTAGCACTCATATATGGCACTGATAGGCGGCACTGATAGGTGGCACTGGCTGGCACAGTTAGTTGGCACTGACTGGCACTGTTAGGCGGCACTGATGGGCACTGATAGGCAGCACACATGCGCACTGATAGGCGGCACTGACTGGCACTGATAGGCAGCACTGACTGGTATTAATAGGTGCCACTGATTTGCATCACTGATAGGCGGCACTGACTGGCACTGATAGGTGGCCCTGAAAGGCAGCTCAGATGGGCACTGATGTGGCATTGATGTGCTATGGTAGGCACTGATATGTGGCATTGATGTGGCACTGATGGGCACTGGCAGGTGACATTGATGAGCACTAACAGGTGGCATTGATGGACACTGACAGGTGGCACTGATGGGGCTACACTGATCATAAGGGCACACTGATAATCAGTGCCCTGTTGATCAGTGTACATGTCCCCTCTGAGTAACGCCGATTACCGGCTCTCCTCTCCTCTCAAGCTGTCAGCGTGACAGCTCGTGAGGAGAGAAATGCTGATAACCGGCATTTCCTTATTTACATGCAATCAGCTGTGAATGGACACAGCTGATCACATGACCGAGCCGACGTCTTCGGTTATTTCCGTTGATCGGTGATCCGCTGTGTCCCAGGGACACAGTGCACCACCGATCGCCACGCTGCGTGCCCCTGGGGATGCCCATGCATGGTTATAGTGGGAGGATGTCATATGACGTCCTCCCAGAACGAGAGATCCGCCTTGCGCCCATCATTTCCTTATATGGTGGGCGGGAGGCGGTTAAATACAATGATGTGCATCTCTGTGCAATGCTGGCTAGTGGCTGCGGGCGAGCTCTAGGGAGAGGTTATGCAAATATTATAATGCCTTGATAAGTAGATGTTAGTCTGGTGGAGTGCAGTTGCATGCTTACTGCTGTAGGTAACAACCACATGTGATGCCAAGCCTCCATGATTGAAAGAATTGAAATCTGAATAATGAAAGTGGAAGGCCAAGGACAGTAAGTCTAGGAAGAATCTGGCTAGATGATGGTGGATGTCTTCCAGATAGGAAATAACAAAATAGAATTTGACCTGATGCACCCAGTGATGTGCCTTCATCCCTTCCTTATTACCCATACAACCAATTTATTTGAGCTGGGACTTTAAATGAGGCACAAACACACACAACCACCGAATAATTAGTTTCCAACATTCATTTTTAATAAATTAATAAACTTCTCATTGCTTACAAAAAGTGGATAAAATGGTAACAAGCTGATTTATAATAAATCTATATTAATGCATTTCATACATAATTGGATATACAATTGACCATATACAATCCAGATGTCAATACATAATTACATTAAAATTGCATTCATAAACTTGACACTTTTCATAACTCTTAGTTCACTTCGTCAGGAGTAGATGCATGTATAATAACTGCAAGGCAAAACATCAACTACATAACATTCTAGTGATGTCTTGTAAAATATAAAGTAGTTCCAATCTCACGGGTAACCAAAGGGACCTTAATACTTCCAAATCAGCTAAAAATACATATGACAGTATTTCCAAATGGTGATCTCCAGGGAAGTCTCACTTGGTAGCTGTGGGAATGTGACTCCGCAAGAACCCAAGGGGAGAAGCCAGAATCAGATTCTCCTCACTGCTGTGGAGGATAAGGAGAGATGTGGCTCTGTGGCTCTCTTACTGCCCATATTTGTAGCACTAGGAGCAACTGTTTATAAATTTATAGGAAACCAGAGAACCAGGAGAAAACCCACACAGGCACAGGGAGAACATGCAAACTCCAGGAAGGTGGTGCCGTGGTTGGGATTCAAACCAAAGACACTAGTACTGCCAGGCAGAAGTGCTAACCATTTAGCCACTGTGCTGCCCTAATATGATAATTTGTCAATATACCGTAGCTACTATTACTATAAATGATGCATGTGACACACTATATATATATATATATATATATATATATATATATATATATATACATGATGTGAATGTACAATATATATGTAAAGCGCTGTGTAAATTGACAGCGTTATATAAGTACCTGAAATATATATATATATATACACATATACTCTGTGTGTTTTATATAATCATTTCTGTAGCTGGAATTCAGCTTTAACTGCTAAAAAGCATCATCATCAGACATCCACTGAGGGGTCTGTGGTTAAGGCTAAAAGATTATTTCTACCCAGAAATTGCTGCTATCTGCTAGTGATATAATGAGAAATGGGTTCTGCAAATAGAGTGACAATTTATACAGTATATAGTCTCTATCAACAGCAATTGCAGTTTCCTTTTATGCTGTGACATGGTGTGGTGTTAGATTAGTGATACAGTGGCTGAGAGATGAGACACCTCTGTGCACAGTTATAATGTGCGGGATTTAGTAATAAGGCTGGTAAGTGTGTGGCGGTTCTCTTCCTGATAACTAATTACATCCCACAGGATGTGTCTCTCTCCGGGGTGCTGAATCTGCTTTACCTGTTCACAGCCATTTCTGCAGCTGTTCCACTCTTATGTGTACATAGTGCCATGGCAGAGTAAATGTATCTTCTGATGCTGCAATGTACAAACATCCCACAGTAAACAAACATGGGCTCTGTGGATACAGCCATAGTGTTCTCTTTTATGTAAAAGGCAGGATCAAGCTGAGTGTTTAGAAATGAAAGCAGCTCAGTCGGTAGACAGGCAGTCATTTCAAGTGACATTTCAATTATTATGATGGTTGAAAATACGGCTCTATATATTTAGCTGTATTCCTGCTATAAACCTACACTTTTAGATGCTCAGTTGGCCAATGGTTTATAGGAATTATTTGTGTATGTGGTGCTTTCCTTTAAGGCCTCGTGCACACTGGACTTTTTTAATGCTGCTGTTAGGGGTGTCTAGCATTTTTTTCTGCCTCTAAATGGCCCTGCATGTTAGCCAATGTAAAAGATAGGTAGCAAGCGAGCACACAGTTTTTATCAAGCAGCTAGCATCAAAGGATGAACCCCTATAGCCTCAAATATGACAGGTTTACTAAAATTTATTCCCAACCGCACTATAGCCAAAAGATGGCTACAGCACAATCATCCAGTTCTGGGAGGGCATCCATAGATGTCCTCCCAGAACCACACCCCCCGCGCACCCCTTGAGGTGCACACTGGGCATGCTCTGTGATCACTGTGATCACAGATTGTAGCAAAGGGACAATCACATCAGCCCTTTACCATGTGATCAGTTGTGTCCAGACTTGCCGGTTATCAACAGTGTGAGGAGAGGAGAGCTGGTAATCAGCAATTCACACAGGGGATGTTGACACTGACAATCAGGGGAACTGATCATCAGTGCCCTGATTAGCAATGCAGCCCCATCAGTGCCCATCAGTGCTGCCTATCAGTGCCCATCAGTGCCTCCTCATCAGTACCAAATATCACTGCCCATCAGTGCCGCCTATCAATGCCACCTATCAGTTCCACCTATCAGTTCCACCTATCAGTGCCACCTATCAGTGCCACCTATCAGTGCCACCTATCAGTGCAGCCTCATCAGTGCAGCCTCATCAGTGCAGCCTCATCAGTGCAGCCTCATCAGTGCCCATCAGCGCAGCCTATCAGTGCACATCAGTCAAGGAAAAAATTACTTATTTTCAAAATTTTATAACAGAAACTAAGAAAAACTTTTTTTTTTCAAAACTTGTGGTCTTTTTCTGTTTGTTAAGCAAAAAGTTAAAAAAAACCCAGTAGTGATTAAATACCACCAAAAGAAAGCTCTATCTGTCTAAAGAAAAATGATTAAAAAAAAGCGTTTGGTTACAAAGTTGCATGACTGCACAATTGTCATTCAAAGTGTAACAGTGCTGAAAGCTTAACATTGGCCTGAGAAGGGAGGGGGTGAAAGTGCCTGGTACTGAAGTGGTTAAGCTGATCAGGTGCTTGGAATGGACATTTTGATGTAACAATGTAATAATTGCTTTGCTAATAAATTGCACCCCATATTTACAAAAAGGTACAATTCTGATAGAGCTATAATTATACTACACATAACACGTTTTATTTATATTTCTAAAAATGTAGAATCTGAACCTAATGAATTAATGCTGTAGAGAAGTTTATGCACAGCTAACAAATTAAAGCAATTTCTACCTTTGTAATCCTAGCACCTTTTTCTGAAAATATGTAATTCCAGCAGAGCAAACCTCCTCTTAGTCTATGACACATGAAAAATACATAGAGCTAAGCTCTGTGAAATACATATTTTATAAACGTCCTACATTAAAGTGGAGGTCCAGTCACTTCAAGCATGCTTGACCACTTTTAACTCATGCAGCACCATTTTGCTACAGCATGAAAGCAGGCATATAAATCAATGTAATTACTGTTATATTATACTATTTCAAGAGATTGCTTCACTGTTTATGTCTTGAAACCTATGAATAGGCTGCTATTCATGTTTTCTTCTGCAAGGTCACCTGACCCTCTGAACATGGTGAAATTTCTAATTATTTTGAATAATCAGTAATCAAGTCACAGCAGGACCTGGCTCATGGCTATGTCAAACCAAACACTAATTAATATTCATTCACCACATATTTACTTGAATCGCCTTTCTTTGGACTCTACATTTATTGCTTCCTTGAAGCACCAATTAGTGGTAGCTAGTAGTTTAGAAAGCTACAAAGGTGTAGTTAGTAAATATAGTGCAGTCCATGACATGGAAAAAGGTGTTTAGCACTCCAACTGTAAAAACACAAATTTAATCCAAAGCATCCAAATTATTTGTTGGAACCTAGGTATTATTAGTGAGAGGGGATGTTTTATTTATTTATTTATCTTGCCTTTTAAATTTTTTTTAATGGAAGGTCTGAAAGCTATCCAGCCCCCCTTGCACCTCTGCAGCAATAAATCACTTTTAATCGTAATATATTGCTTGCAGTTAACAGCAAGCAATAGATCCCCATTGTGGTTATATGAAACAGCTCTGCTTTATCTATACATAGATTCATGGATTCTAAAGTCATGGGAAGTGCTGATCACATCACAAATCATAGACTTCCCCCTAAACACAGTGCCAATGCTGTGGTGCTAATAAAGAGAACTCTCACTGAGTGTTCACTTTCCCTCCAGAGGATTTACACCCCCCTACATCCCCCCTTCCTGACCTGGCCATTTTTTGCGATACGGTGCTGCGTTATTTTAACTGACAATTGCGCTCTCATGCAATGTTGTACAAAAATGAAATGTATGTTTTTTTTTCCCCATAAATAGTGCTTTCTTTTGGTGGTATTTGATTGCCTCTGCATTTTTAATTTTTTGCGCTATAAACAAAAAAAGACCGTCAATTTTGAAAAAAAATATATATTTTTGACTTTTTGCTTTTAAACATGTCTAATAACAAAATTTTAAAAATCAAATGTCATAAATTTAGGCCAAAATGTATTCTGCTACATATCTTTGCTAAAAAAAAATCCCAATACTTGTAAATTAATTGGTTTATATGAAAATTAAAATGTCTACAAATGGCAGTATATATACTGGAATTTTTATTTTTTGCAATGGTGGCGATCAGCACCTTATTGCGAGACTGCGGCGGGCATTCAGAGCAATACTAAGCAACCTGTTCATGCTGACAGGGGAGAGATCTGTATTGTTTAAATACGGACCTCTCCCCTGTCAGCTCCGCCAATTACAGAGTCCTGGCCGAGAATCGCCGGCTGGGATCTGGTGATCAACATACCAAGGAGCTTATAGCCGCGTGGGTAGAAAGCGTGTACACTCCCTACCAGGAAAACCAATAAAAAGTATATATACATGATTTTGCGCATCCCTGCGACCCTGTAGCAGTACTTCTGCTATATGGCGCTCGGGAAGTGGTTAAGCAGCATTGCAAGCCTAACAACTGATATGTTACAATCATTGTTACATTATATTTTTAAATAGCTACTTTTTGTGCAGCTCAAATGATTTTCCTCTGAATTTGTACACAATGTCATATAAAGCAATCTGGCAAGTGAAAAAAAGTTTGTTTGTATTTTGTTTTTGTTTTTTTTAAATGTACCTTTTTAATTTGTAGAATTGATTCTAACTAGCCCTAAGTAACATACATTTTTATGTTTTTGCTTGCTTTGTTTACTAATTTTTGTAGTGATAGAAAACTAAACTATAAACAGAATTTTAGGATTCATTATAAATGGGATGAACAGGGAAAAAAAAAAAATACAGTAAATACTTAAATGAATAAACAAACAGTACAAACTGTAGAACAAATTTTGAACTTTGTATCAAGAGCAGTTATTTTAAAATCAACACTGGTCAAATCAGAAACAAAGTTTCTATAATCAAAGAACTTTCTGCCTGTAGACTAAATAGAAAATAAAACAATTTTCCCAAAGTGGTTTTGCCAAAACATTGTTCCAAAAAAGACAGTATGACGGTTATTTGCTAAAACTGGAGAGTGCAAAATCTGGTCAGCTCTGCATAGAAACCAATCAGCTTCCAGGTTTTATTGCCAAGGCTTAATTGAACAAGCTGAGGTTAGAAGCTGATTGGCTACCATGCACAGGTGCACCATATTCTGAGTGCTACAGTTTTAGTAAATCTCCCCCTATAGGTCTTGCATTGCTATTTTAGGTAATGCCAACCTTATGACCTGGGGACCTGGGGACATGACCTTAAACTAACTGGAGGAAAGTTCAAAACTAACCTCAGAAAGTACCATTTTACTGAAAGAGTAGTTGATGCTTGGAATAAACTTCCAGCAGAGATAGTGAGTCAGTCAACAGTAAATAGCTACAAACATGCTTGGAATAAGCATAGATATATACTAAGACAAAAAAGTTACCAAAAAACAAAACAAAAAACAACAACAAAAAGAACAACCCCCCCCCCCAACAAAAGAAAAAAAAATTACACACAAAAAAATGGCCAGACACGATGGTCCACTCTGTCTTTTTCTGCCATCACTTTTCTGTGTTGCTATGTTACTATCTAATCAAAAGTCCCATAGCAAAAATATGATTGCTCTGATCCACAAGAGGTGTACACTTGCTACTATTAAAGTGCTTAAATCTGCTTTTGGTTCCCACCCTTGTAACCTCTGGACTGAGTGTAACATTCAAATAATCACTTTTTTATGCCCCATGTGGGATGGTGATTTAAAAAAGTGTTATAAGCAACACTAGAAGGGTGTGGCTTGGGATGTGGCCTGTTTATGTGTAGGTCATAAAATGCCAGCTCTAGGCTCTCAAATACTACATCAGGCACTGTGTGACCATATACATTTATTTACAAAATTCCAAGATTAATCTCCAATATTTTATTAAAGGGACAAAACCATTTTTCTAAAAACAAATGCAAGCATATTCAATAAAATAATGCAAGCTATTCTAAAGTTGGAAGTCTGCAAATACCACAATTCAGTAAGAAATTTCTGAATCCTAAATGAACTTAGTACTGGCAATTTATAGTGAAACTGTGCTTTATCCATGCAGACCAAAACATCAGGTTAAAAAAATTAGTGAATAAAAAAGGTACGTTAATACATACCCAAATCCCAACATCAGTACATAAAGGGTTAATTACATAAATAAGTGTGCTGAAGCCATAGATTGGTTTTCCTCGAGAAAGACTCATGAATAATGCTCTATAAATAAATAACAGGCAGAACTCCAAACAACTAACTTTTTGATTTTCATATATTTATGAAAGAAACATCATATAGAGACATAACAGTTCATGAGTACATGCCCAAGGTCTCCCCACAGTTCCTCTATATAAACAAAGGCAAACTCTCAGCTACAGGCATCATATACAATTTCATCAGAACAGGAAGGAGATCCAGGCTTATGCTGACTACACAGAATATCAGCCAAAATCAGCCGCTACAGTAGAAACCGTCTGACTTTTGGCCCGTGTACAGCTGCTTGTCCAACAGAAGTCAATCTCACAACCAGCTTCTGTCGTGCTTGAAAACTGACAGCCAACCAGTCAGGGCCATGGATAAGAGGGTACCACAAGTCCTCCTGGTGTGGGGCCCAGGCCAGCAGGGGGGTCCATACAACTGGGTGAATTACTTATGGACAGGGAGGGTAATCATCATGGCGGGTTGGGGGAGACAATTACTGGAACCGATCCCCTGTATGGCATTCTCTGCAGGAGCTGAAAGTTGGCTTTATCTCCTCTCCCTCCTGCTGGCTCTCAGCTGCTGCACAGAGAGCCATACAGGGAATCGGTTCCAATAATTGCCACCCCCCCACCCCAAGTTGCACCCGTCACCCGCCCTGTGCATCATACATTTTCCCCTGCTGCCCAGGCCCCACCCCCCACAATACTGCTGGCTTCCCTCCTTTCCTTCCCACTGCCACTAGCAAGCACACAATAGGATCCTTCAGGACGGAGAGCGAGAGAAGGGTCCAGTAAATATTTCACATTTACCAGCCCCTTCCTTTCCTGAATGAACACAATGAGTGATTGGTACTGATCACTCTCTGTGTTCATTCTTAGCTGAAGCATAGTAAACTGGGGGGGTTGGGGGGTGTCAGGTTGGTTGTATGGGGCCCTGTGGTTTCTAACAGCAGTCCTGCTTGCAGCCAATGGCTGTAAAGTACTGACCAGTGTTTTCTGGTGGGGGGGTGGTCCCATTCAGAACACTGCACTAACATCGTCTGCGTTAGTACAGCTATCGGTCAGTTTTTTTTTTTTTTCGTTCAGCCTGCTGGGTTGAATGAAAAAAAAAACACTAATAGTGTGTACCTGGCTTTAACCGGTTCCCACCCGGCCTATGGCCGAATGGCGGCCGACAAAAACCCTCACCGTTCCAGGTGGACGCCATATGGCATCCATTCGGGCATGCGCAGGTTGCGCACCTGCAGAGCCATGCAGCGGCGCGATCTGTCACCGGCTGCGTTCCTCGGACATGGCCAATGACAGATCTGAGTGTCGGCCCCATTGCCGGTACCATGTGACCTGCTGTGACCAATCACAGCTGGTCATATGACAGTTGTATACAATGGATGGCTTCATTCATGCCTTCCATTGTATACTAGTCTAGCTGTGAATGGTCACAGCACAATCACATGCACAAGCTGGGCCAATCACAGCCCAGCTGTGTCATGTGATTAGCCGTGGCCAAATCACAGCTAAGGACAAAAAAAAAAACCCTGAATGAATCGATGTGTTAAAAATAAAAGGCACATAATAACCATAACCATAATAAGGCTTAAGATATCCACAAGATGGGCGGGATCATTTGTTTATTCCCCCATAAGCCTTTCATCATATAAAAGCAGGGTAGAGGGGCAGAGGATATGAGTAGAGGCTCTAGGCATCTTATATTGGAAACATGGTGTAGAGTACTCCAAGCTGTACATGAGGTAGAGCTAGGGTTACGATTAGTGGTTGCCAGTGTATGAGGAGATGTCTTCATGAATCAGATGAAGCACTTTTGCAGGTTGTGTATTGGTATGGGTGTATGTCCCCTATGGGCAGGGGGGAAAGAGTGACAAGGGTAGGAAGAGAAGAGTAAGGTAAGACATGGAAAGTAGAAAGGAAGAAAAGGAAAGGAAAGGGGATGGTGAAGAAAGGGGGGTAAGGAAGGTAAAGAGATGGAGGGCAAGGGATTGGAAAGGAGGGAGAGAGGAGAAGAGTATTTTTTTTTTATTTTTGTTTTTAATAAAGTACTTGCCAAAGACTGTCTACATTCATTTTTTACACTACACCTTTTTTTTGTGAATGAATAGCTGTACCATGAACCCCATACTCATTCACAAGGAAGGGGCAGGATCTGGCCTCCTTGTTAAACAGGGCTTCCAGGTTCCGATAAGCCCCCCGCCTGCAGACCCCCACAACCGCTGGCCCCAATTGTGGGGAAGAGGCCCTTGTACCTTAGGATTACCACCTCATCTCTTTAAAACCAAACACATATTAATTACACAGGTTCTGTGACTGATTAAGGTGGTAATTAAACTCTCTTAGTGCCTTGTCTGTATTAAATCAGCCACAGAACCTGTGTAACTAATATGTGTTTGGGTTTAAAGGGACAAGGGGGCAACCTTATTGTGCCCATCAAAGCAACATCCCCCATGTTGGCCTGGTATGGTTCGGGGGGGAAGGCGCTCGCTCATACCCCCCCTTTCCTGACCTTCCGGGCTGCATGCTTGGATAAGGATCTGGTATAGATTTTGAGGGGAACCCCATTACATTTTTAAAAAAAATTTAATGTTGGGGTTCCCCTCAAAATTCATACCAGACCTGAAGGGCTTGGTATAGATGGGGGGGACCCCACGTGTTTTTGTTTTAAAACATTAAAGAATGTTTTTTAGTAGCTGTGCGGAATCTTACCGCATACTCAGATGTGGTAAGATACCGCTTAGTGAATTGTCCCCTCTGTTCGAAGTTCGCAGTCAAACTTTCCTTATGTTCAAATGTTCGACCGCAAACCGAACAGGGGGATGTTCATGTTCGGCCCATCACTAGTCAGCATTCACATAGCGTGAGTCCTTTCCCCCCCAGCGGATCCACTTGCTCAGCGGGGGATCTCTCCGCTGATCCCCACTGAGCAAGTGGACGACAGGTCCGTGTTTGCTCTGCTCCTGCACAGCGGACACAGACACAGCCCACTGTCCTCTATGGGATGGAAATGGACTGCCTGTCCCTATCTATCCGATTGCCATCCAATCCGATCTGATGGACAGAAGGGGAATGGATCCCCATCTGTCTCTTTCTGATTGATTGGATCAGATTGGATGTCTGTTTACACCGCTACTTCATAGAGGAGAATCGAGGTTCCAACTGCGTCTGCCTGAAAAACGGGCAGGCGGACCAGAACGGAACGTCGATATGAAAGGGACCTAAGGCTGTGGCATTGAAAGGAGCAAGGCTAGTTCACATCTATGTGGCACATTTTGCAGCTCATTTTTCATTTTTGAACATGCTGTCTTGCAGGTTTTTTGCTAATAGAGAAGTATGACAGTTCTGTTCATGCAGTGTGACCTTGATGCGACTTTACACTCTCTGGTACTCAAGTAACATCAAGGTCACATCTAAGTAGCGCAGAAACAGTTATGTGTCCAAAGTCACATGTTAGAATCAGGGTTAAGGGCTAGAGTTAGGCTTAAGGGTGTTAGATAATAAGGGCTACAGTTAGGGTTAAATGTTAACCCTACCCTTAACCCTAACATGTAACTTTGGACACATAAAGGTTCTTGCACTACTTTGATGCTACTTGAGGGTCAGAGAGTGTAAAGTCACATCAAAGTCACAGTACATGAACAGAACTGTCATACTTTCCTATTAGCAGAAAAAAATGCAAAACGCATCAAAAGCGCAATAGTTATGGTTTTGGTGCAGATCCATTTAAGTCAATTACACACAAAACGCAATCTGCCGTGGGAAAAAAGTTGCTGATCCTTTCCAAAAAACACACTGGCTCAAATCACACAGAGGTGAACTAGATCCATAGGAAACCATGTTAAATGCACTGAAATCCGCATATGTATGAACCAAGGGTAAAAGAAGCCACAATGATCTGACCCTCCCGGAAGTGCCAAATTCACCATGAATAATACCGTAGCTATACTGCTAAAATGAACAAATGTCATTTCTGTTAATATTTTTTAATGTTAATTACATTTTTTAAAACACATCTTTTTAAATATACAGTATATCATTTAAACAAAATTGCAGTTCCCTTTAACACACTTCAAGACTAGGCTGTTTTCAACCCCTTCCTGCCCAGGCCATTTTTCAGATTTCAACACTGTCACATTTTGAATGACAACTACTCAGTCATGCAACACTTTTTCAATATACAGTATATCATTTTTAAAAAAATTACAATTCCCTTTAATACTTCAAGACCAGACTGTTTTCAGTGCCTTCCTCTCCAGGCCATTTTTCAGATTTCAGCACTGTCACACTTTGAATGACAACTACTCAGTCATGCAACACTGTACACAAATGAATTTTAATATCATTTTTTTTATCATATCATATCAAATAGAGCTTTTTTTGGTGGCATTTAATCACCACAGTTTTTGGTTTTTTTTTGCTATATAAAGGAAAAAAGTCTGAAAATGTGGGAGAAAAAAATGTGTTTCTTAGTTTCTGTTATAGAATTTTGCAAATAAATAACACCGCCAAATAAAAAAAAAAAAAAATTTCTTGGTGCCTTGCTTTTTTAAACCTTTTCTAGGGGTTAATCTGTGGCACTGATTCAGAAAATTGCATTGGCTAGACTGCGTCAGTTCTAGTGTCTTAGATATGATCAAATTCATATAAAATTTTTAGTCAGTGTTTTTGAAAAGATCTTGCTGATTAACTTGTTCTGCTGTTACCTGGTTTGTGTTTTTGTGTGCATTTTATATCCTTCAAACTGTCATTTTACACTGGAAACATGAGATTCTAAAGTGTAAGTTAATAACTGTATTATAGTTCTGATTAGAGATGAGCGAATTATTCAAAAATTCGATTCGGCTGATTCGGCGAATTCGCGAATAAATTTGATTCGAGTTGAATATATTCGCTGCGAATTTAACTTATAAAAAGGGTGTTTCTAGGCTTCAGAGAGCCTTTATATTAGTGCAGAACACTGTACCTTTAATTTAAATGCCCCTTGGAGTCTGCTGGGGAAGAGAAATAATACTGTCAGTCAGTATGACATGCAGATGAGTGCCGTCGATCTTAGAATCACCGCACACTTCACTCATTTGGGCAGTCATGGGGCCAAAACCAGAGTGTGGAGCCACAGTGTGGCGGTGGAGGCAGCAGCAATGGGACGGCCATACAGCACCCTATGAAAAAATGGAACCCCCCAGCAGTGTGAGGAGACCTGAAAGTGGCACATGGCAGAGTGTGGCGATGGAGACAGCAGCAATGGGAGGCCGTACAGGGACCCATGACACACTCTGGACCTGGCAGCAGCATGTAGGAGGCGGGTACAGGGGCCCATGACAGATTACGGGCCTGGCAGCAGCAGGAGGAGTCGGTAAGCGGGGGCCCATGGCAGATTAACGGGCCTGGCATGTGCGAAGGCAGCAATGGGAGGCCATACAGCACCCTATGACATAAAATGGAAACCCACCAGCAGTGTGAGGAGACCTGAAAGTGGCACATGGCAGAGTGTGGCGATGGAGACCAGCAGCAATGGTAGGCCGTACAGGGACCCATGACACACTCTGGACCTGGCAGCAGCATGAGGAGGCGGTACAGGGGCCCATGACAGATTACGGGCCTGGCAGCAGCATGAGGAGTCGGTACGGGGGCCCAAGGCATATTACGGGCCTGGCGAGCAGCAATGCGGAAAAGGCCGTACAGGGACCCATGACACACATTGGACCTGGCAGCAGATGAGGAGGCGGTACAGGGGACCCATGACATATTAACTGGACCTCGCAGCAGCATGAGGAGCTCGGGACGGGGGCCCATGCAGATTACGTGCCTGGCGAGCAGCAATGGGAGGCCCGAATTCTGCCAGCACCCTATGACAGGAATCGGTACCCACCAGCAGAATGGAGGCCCATGGAAATGGCACGGGCAGAGTGTGGCGATGGAGGGACAGAGCAATGGGAGGCCATACAGGGACCCATGACACACTCTGGACCTGGCAGCAGCATGAGGAGGCGGGGGGTATCAGGGGCCCGCATGACAGATTAGGGGCCTGGCAGCAGCATGTAGGATGAGTCGGTACGGGGGCCCATGGCAGATTACGGGCCTGTAGCAGCAATGGGAGGCCCGTAATCTGCCAGCACCCTATGACAAAATGGAACCACCAGCAGTGTGAGGAGACCTGAAAGTGGCACATGGCAGAGTGTGGCGATGGAGGACAGCAGCAATGGGAGGCCGTACAGGGACCCATGACACACTCTGGACCTGGCAGCAGCAATGAGGAGGCGGTACAGGGGCCCATGACAGATTACGGGGCCTGGCAGCAGCATGAGGAGTCGGTACGGGGGCCCATGGCAGATTACGGGGCCTGCAGCAGCAATGGGAGGCCAGTACAGGGACCCATGACACACTCTGGACCCTGGCCAGCAGCATGAAGGAGGCGGGTACATGTGCCAGGACAGAATAACGTTGCCTCGCAGCAGCATGAGGAGGCGGTACGGGGGCCCATCAGATTACGGGCCTGGCCAGTGAGGGTCGTAGGGGGGGCCCAGGGCAGTTTTGGGCCGGCAGCAGAAAGGGGGGCCCGAAATCTGCCACCCCCTATGACAAAAGGGAAAACCCCACCAGCGTGTGAGGAGACCTGAAAGTGGCACATGGCAGAGTGTGGCGATGGAGACAGCAGAAATGGGAGGCGTACAGGGCCCCATGCACACTCTGGACTGGGCAGCAGCTGAGGAGGCGGTTACAGGGGCCCAGAAGATTACGGGCCCCGGGGGGCAGCAGCATGGGGTCGGTACGGGGGGCCCTGGAGATTTCGGGCCTGGCAAGCAAGGGAGGATCACCCCCTATACAAAAGGAAACCCCCCGCGTGTGAGGAGCCCTGAAAGTGGCACTGGCAATTTGGCGAGGGAAGGAAGGGGGCCGTTGGGGCCCCCTTGACTCCCCCCGGGGACAGGGGGGCTTCCCAGCAGCCCCCCCTTTTGGGGGGCGGGGGGTTCAGGGGGGGGTTTTCAGGGGCCCTTGCTCCCGGGCCATGCCAACTAACGGTGTGTCTGAGTCCCCCGACCCTTGGGTGGTGTCAGAGGTGACCTGGGAAAGGAAGACGACCCAGCCAACCAACGATGAGCAGGGTGTCGGTGGAGGAAAAACCGGGGATGGGCCCGGGGCATGGCCTCGGGGGGCCCCCCCTTGGGAGCCCTCCCCTTCCCCGCCACCCTTCTCCCCCGGGGCATTGCCTTTCCCCATTCCCCTTTCTGTTGTGAATCGTTTTTTCAAAATTTTGTCCCCCGGTAAAAGATTCTGTGTCCTGAAAAAATTTTTCCCCCGTTAAAAAATTTTTTCTGGGAACAATTCTGTGTCCCAGAAAAATTTTTTAAAAACGGTTTTCAATTTTTTTTCCGTTTAGTTTCCCGAGTGGGGCTGGTCCCTTTTCCCGGGCCCGGTCCTTTTTCCTAGTTACGATTCTGTGTCCCCCAGAAAATTTTTTGTGTCCCCCGAGTAACAATTTTGGTCCCCGGTAACATTCTGTGTCCCGAGTAAAATTCTGTGTCCCTCAGTAACAATTTTGTGTCCTGGTAACAAATTTGTGTCCCAAAAAAATTCGTGTCCCCGGTACTTTTTTTTTTGTCCCTGAGTTAAAAATTTGTGTTTCCCCCAGAAATTTTTTGTTCCCGAGTAAATTTTTTTGTGTCCCTGAGTAAAATTCTGTGTCCCTAGTAACGATTCTGTTCCCTCAGTAAACTTCTGTTCCCTGGAACAAATTTTTGTTTTCCTGGTGAACATTTTTGGTTTGGGAACTTTTTTGTTTTTCCTGGGAAAAATTTTTGTGTCCCTGAGTAACAATTTTGTCCCTCAGTAACGTTCTGTGTCCCCGTAAAATTCTGTTCCCGGAAATTTTTTTGCCCCGAGTCGATTCTGTGTCCCTGGAAAAATTTTGTTCCCAAAAAGTCCCGAGTAACGATTTCTGTGTCCCCCCGGGGAATTTTTTCGGTTCCCCGTCTTTTTGGGGTCAATTTTTCTGTCATGGTTGCTTTTTGTCTTCTTTTTTGTTCTTAGTAACGATTTCTGTGTCCCAGTAAATTTGTGTCCCTGAGTAACATTCTGTGTCCCTAGTAACATTCTGTGTCCCTCAGACGATTCTGTGTCCCTGAGTTTAAAATTTGGCCCCGAGTACGATTCTGTTTCCCCCGTAACGATTCTGTTCCTAAAAAATTCTGGGGGTCCCTCAAAGATTCTGTGTCCTCAGTAAATTTTGTCCGTTTTTTTTTTAATTTGTGTCCCTGGTAACAATTCTTGGTTGTTCGTTTTATTTGTGTTTTCTTAGTACGTTTTTTTCCCTCCCGTCATTTGGTCCCCAGTAACGTTCCCCCCTTTGGGCTTTGGGGGGTTTTTAGAACAATTTTGTGTCCCTGAGTAACAAAAACTGTGTCCCTGGTAACAATTCGTGTCCCTGAAAACGAATTCTGTGTCCCCGTAAAAATTTTGTCCCCAAAAAACCGTGTCCCCATATAATTCTGTGCCCTAGTCTTCTTGTTCCTATAAAGATCTGTTCCCTATACTTTTTTTTGGGGAAAACTTTTGTCCCCTTTAAAATTTTTTTTGGTTTGGTAACAATTCTTGTCCGATAATTTTTGTGTCCCGGTTTCCCCCCAGAAGATTTGGGCCCGAAAATTTTTGCCGCCCGGGAACGATTTGTGTCCGGGTTTTTTTTTGAACGTTTTTGTCCCGGAACGATTCTTTCCCTGAGTAACAAATTTGGTCCCTTTAAGATTTGTGTCCCTTTAAAATTCTTTTTTCAGAAAAGACTGTGTTATCATTTGTGTCCCCCCGGGAAGAGGTTCCCCGGAACTTCTTTCCCCTAAAATTTTTGGCCCCGAAGTTTTTGTGTTAGTAAGAGGCCGGCACCCGGGGTTTAAAAACATTTTTTAACCCTCCCTGGGGTAAGTTTGGCCCTTAAAAAAATTTTGGCCCTCAGAAGATTTGTGTCCCCGGAGAAAAAGGGGTCCCCGGGTAAATTCGGGGGTCCCTGGAAAGATTTTTTCCCCCCCAAAAGGGTTGGAACACGGCCCCCAGAACAATTTGGGTCCCTGGTAAGTTTCTTGGTTTCCCCCTTCGATTTTGCCTGGTAAAATTTTTTTTCCTGGTAAAATTTTTTTTCCCTTTGGTTTTTTTCCCCTTTTTTTTTGTTTTTAAACGATTCTTTCCCCGTAACCCTTTTTTGTCCTCGCTTCTTTCCTAGAAAAATTTTTGGGGTTTTTTTGAAAAAACTTGCCCCCCGGGGTTTTAAAAAACTTTTCCCCATCAATTTTGGGTCCCCGGAACCGTTCCTGGAAAGACTGGCCCCGGAAACCGTGGGGCCCGGAAAACTGGCCCGGTAACTTTTCCCGGCTGAGAACAATTTTTGTGGTCGAACGGGGTTTTTGGGTTTGTTTAGTTTCCCTTTTTGGGGAATTTTGTCTGGTTTTTTAACAACGGCCAGAACCATTTTTGCCCCGATAGCTGGTTTTTTAAAATTCTGGTTCCCATAAAATTCTGTTCCCTGATAAGATTTTTTTTGGGTTTTTAAGTTTTTGTTCCCCTTTTGTTTTTTTTCTTTTTTGCCCTATAACGTTTGTGTATGGTTTTTTTGGTCCCCCAAAACTAGTCCTTGAAAATTTTTTGTTCGAGTAAAGGGGGCCCTTTTAACCATTTGTGTCCCCCGTAAATTTTTCTTAGAAAGTTCTGGTTCCCTATTTTCTGGTTAGTAAGTTTTTTCCCCTTAAATTTGGTTATAAAATTTTGTGTTCCCCGGGGAAAATTCTTTTGAATAAATTTTTTCCCCAGTAAATTTTTCCCAAAAAACCTTCTGTGGGGCCTGGGTAAAATTTTTTTCTTTTTTGGTTTAAGATTTTTTTAAAGTTCTTTCCCCCGTTCGTTTTTGGCCCTTTGGGGAAGGGGTTCTGTTTATAAAATTTTTTTTCCCTTAATTGGGGGTTCCATAAAACCCTTTCCCCCAAAAAATTTTTCCCAATAACAATTCCCGTTTAAAAAAAATTTTTGTGTTTTGATTTGGCCCTTTAACGGGTTTTCCCTAAACTTTTAAAGAAATCGGTTCCCCAAAATTTTCGTTCCCTGGTTTAAAAATTCTTGTCCCTGGTAAAATTTTGGGGTTTCCCCCTTTAAAAACTTTCCCCCGGGAAACAAAATTTTGGGGTTTTGGGAAATTTGCCCTTTTTAAAAATTTTTTTAAAAATTTTTTCCCGAAAAACTTTTCCCCAGTCGTCTTGTCCCTGGTAAAAATTTGGTCCCAAAGATTCTGGCCTCAGTCAACTTTTCCCCAAAAAAAAATTTTTTCCCCTTAAAAAAAGTTCGGCAGAAACTTTCCCCCGGTTGGCGACCCCCGTTGGGCCCCCCCCCAAAAAAACCCCCCTTTCCCCTCAAACCCCAAAACCCCCCCCTTTTTTTGGGAAAATTCTGTTTGATCCCTTTTTTTTTCCCCAAATCAATTTTGGCCAAAAAAGATTTGGTCAAAGAAAATTTTTTCCCCTACAATTTTTCCCGGGAAAAAATTAAAATTTTCCGAAAATTCTTCTGTTTGGGTTAAAATTTTTCCCAGTTTAAAATTTTTGGTTATAAAATTTTTTCCCTGATAAAATTTCCCCCGGGAAAAATTTTTTCCCGAAACAATTTTTTTTCTTTTCCCCAGTAAGAATTTTTCCCAAAAAATTTCGGTGTCCTTTTAACTTCGGGGGTTTTGGTAAGGCCCCATTCCCAAATAAAATTTTGGGACAAGTCTTTGGGGGCCCTTGGGTTTTCCCTAACTCTGGCCAAAAAAAAGGGCCCTCTTGAATGACCCCAGGTTGGGAAAATTTAAATGGCCGTTTTTATGCTCAATCAAAAACTGGGGGGTGGTTGGTTTTAAAGGACTGGGCTGATTAATGATTTTGGGTACCCGCCGGTTTTTCCCCCCCGGGCCCCCCCGGGCCTTTTTGGGAAAAAACTTCTCACCGGGGTTTGCTTTTTTCAACCTGAAGGCCCTGGAGCACCAAGACAGTAGAAACACCCATAAAATGAACAAACTCCCCAAGTTATCTTCTAAGACATGAGGAGACCTTTGAAAATGTAATTTTTTTTGCCACAAGTTTTTGTAAAAATGAGAAATGAAAATAGAACTGTAATTTTTTCCACAAAGCTGTCAATTAATAAAATTCTAACACATAGCATGGGAATACTTAGAATTACAACCGAAAAAAAACATTTTACAACTCCTCCCATAGTTAGAATATCACTCCAAAACACATT